TGCTTATGTGAAGAGTCAATTAAAAGGAAACAGATGTAATGTCATTAAATATAAAAAAGTATAATTTTACTTAGAATCATCTAATATTATATTATAGGAAATCTTGAGTGTGTTAGAGCTCCAAGCTAAAGTTTTTTATTATTATTATTGGGTATCATTATTCAGGATTATGTCAATGATGCCAAATATAATGATGAATTTAGAGGTAAAAAAAATAAACTCTTGTTAGAATCGAAGAACCATAAAGATAATGTACAGCATGGTGACTATGTAAGTAATATGTATTGTATATTTGAAAGTTGCTAAAAAAAAGTAGATTTCAAAAGTTACAAGAAAAAAAAATTTGTAACTATGGGTGGTGATGGATGTTAACTAGATTTATTCACAATATATAATCATTTCACAATATATACAAATATCAAATCATTATGTTGTACATCTGAAACTAATGTAATTTTATATGTCAATAATATCTCAATCAAAAAATCACAAAGATCCAGAAAATATAGAGTTTGAATTTAAATAGTACCATAATATTATTTGAAAATTTTCTCTAGTTGAACATATTTGCAAATATGTGGACTTCATAATATCCAGCACTGAATGAGTCCAATAACAATTGTGTTGTATATATGCTAATAAGAACACAACCATAGGACTTTAAAAAGAAAATGTGAGAATAAAAAATGAGAGATTTTATTTAGACAGAGATTTTTAAATAAAGTCTCAAGAACAGTGTAATATGTTAGGATAACAAAACTGTGGAGAGAACTCATTTCAATGTGGTGCACCATTTAAGAATTATGACATAAGAAAATAAAATGTGTATATAGAAGTAGAAAATATAGTCCTTATTCAACATTTCAAAGTAGATGATGATGGCATCAAGACAATAGAAAACTGTTATCTTTGGAATAGGCATTAATTTATACTTTGAGTGAACTAAATATGAATGAAATATCGTCATGTAACTATGTTTCAATAGTGTATACCTTATAAAGGCATTTTAGTACCAAGAGAATAATTTTACATTTTTTAACAGTGAGAAGCCTGGTTGATATATCTACTAAAATTTACATTGGCAGTTGTGAAGAGGACGAACAGTATATAGAGAATTCATTATGTGATCACTGGTGCCTTTAAGAATATTGTGAGAATTTCAACACAACCTCTTTCAAAAGAACCAATGAAGGAGCTTCCTTTATGGAGAGAAGATCAGCTCTATTTAAAACAAAGAAGAACAATGAAGCATTTTTAGGCTCTCAGCACTGCTCCTCCTTTTCGTAGTTTGGTTTGCCCTCTTACAAAGTAACACCCTGGCATCCACACTAGAATTGAAATCGACAAGGCATCCGTTTCATCCCTGGCTGCCAGAACGCCTCACTAATAATAATTAGCCATTCCTGGCTTCTATCCAAGAGAGTTCAATAAATACTAGAACGGTTTCTGGGCCTCAGCTGCATGCATTTCTAGCTTTAGCTAAGGAATGATGGGGGGAGGGAACACTACTTTTTGCTGAATGAGATTTGCTGAATAGCATCAGTGCAACAAAATGACTACTCAGTTATCTATTAATGAATGATTGTTATTGAAATATATATTTTATGTTAGCATATGTGTAAAAATGTTCATTTAAATAGGTCATACTCAGCTGTATAAAGTTTATTTCTATACCTGTCTTAGAAAATGTGTTAGTATATAGCACTGTAATATTTGATAAGCACGCTAAACGTCATTATTTTTTATATATTTCATATATGAGTGGTTTCCTAGGAAATGTAAATGGCTTTGATTTCCAGGTAAATAATGATTCATAATATTCAATGTCTACACAATAAAACAATGTGGATGATATTTAAGGAATAGTCATTATGAATGTGTTATTTTATTTACTTGATGAGTAAATTCTTCAGTTTGCTTTGTGATGTTATGAATCTTAAAATTTCCCAGAGCAGGCCAGCCCCATGGCATAGCAAAGTGCACGTGCTCCACTGCTGGGGGCCCGGGGTTCGATCCCAGGCGTGCACTGACGCACCGCTTGTCAGGACATGCTGTGGCAGCATTCCACATAAAGTGGAGGAAGATGGGCCAGATGTTAGCTCAGGGCCAGTCTTCCTTAGCAAAAAAGGAGGCTCGGCATGGATGTTAGCTCAGGGCTGATCTTCCTCACTAAAAAAAAAATATTAGTAATGATAATAATAATAATAATTTCCCAGATCATATAACTGAATGGCTTGGTAAGAGTAGATATTGTTGTATTTATTAGAAGAAATATGGTGTAGAAGGGGACTTTCTTTTCCAAACTTCTCATTTGTTCATAGACAGGAGGGCATTTCTATTCCACTCTTTATGAGAAGGAAAAAAGTATGAGAGAAATTATTTTAGTTTCTCTCAGCCTTAACTCTTCAGGGCGGAGGGGAATAACTGATCTGGTAAAAAATGGAGTGTTAGGGTTTCACATATAGCCACTGGTCCAAGCAAATATCTTTACCTCCATGTCTCTTGAGTCTCATTTCCTAGCTCTTCAAAAAGCTCTAGACATAGAGTCAAGCTTGCTTATTTACTCTAAAACTCGAACACGGGTGAACACTGATCCAGTTGTTCTATGGTGAATATGAACACATGGTGTGTGTGTGGGGGGGGTCTTATTATCCATAGCATCTTCCTGTGCTTATTTTCCTAACCTAAAAGAAATATAGATGGGGCCGGCCCCGCGGCTTAGCGGTTAAGTGCGTGCGCTCCGCTACTGGCGGCCCAAGTTTGGATCCCGGGCGCACACCGACGCACAGCTTGTCCGGCCATGCTGAGGCAGCGTCCCACATACAGCAACTAGAAGGATGCGCAACTATGACATACAACTATCTATTGCGGCTTTGGGGAGAAAAAGGGAAAAAAACGGAGGAGGATTGGCATGGATGTTAGCTCAGGGCTGATCTTCCTCACCAAAAAAAAAAAAAAAAGAAAGAAATATAGATGAAGATTTGGCCCTTGTTTTAAGGCCTTAATGATAGAATAGTCCTCTTCTGCCATGGCCAGCAATGAAATATAGGAGAGTTTATTTCATGAAATCTTAGTAAAGAGACGAAGAGTCAAGAAGATAACTTCACTAACCAACCAGCGCTACCTGCCCAGTTTCTGACCTGGGATTTCACTTTGATGAAACTTGCATGAATATTGACTAGAAAGTGAGCCACCTTTCTCTATGAATTTTCCTAGAAAATGATTTCATAGACCATTAGGGGAATTGAACTCTAACTTGGATCCATATTTTCAGAACATAGGTATTAAACCCCTAACAAATCTTCCTTGATTTCAAATTAAAAGTTAAGTTTTATCAACATATATTTATCTAACAATTAGAGTAGAAATCATCACTCTGGATGTTGACCAAGAATTAACACACTACAATCAGGAATTCAGAACATTTATTGCAAGAGCTGAATAATTGTAAATAACGTAGAACTGGCAAAGCAGTAACAAGGATAATTGTTTAGATATTTATTCTGTCGAAGTCATCAAACACCCCTCACAAACCGACAAAAATGTACTGCAATAAGCAATGCACCCCTACCCATTATTTTCCATTATACTGTGGAAAAATGTGAATTGCTATTTACAAAGTAATTTTATTTTTGGTATGAACAAATTAACTATCAGATTAGCAAACCTTTTTTTTTGTTTTTTATTTTATTTATTTTTTTACTTTTAAACTGATGTTGAACCGTGGCATTAAGATAACTTTCACTTCTCTCAATAAAGACATTTTGTTGCATGCTATTTATTTGTTTAAATCATCTGTCATGCCTTAACAAAAACCTCCTAAGAATGTTCGAATTTGGATTTGTTTGCACGTGCAACTGAGATCTTATTAACATTAGCTGTCACTCTGTTGGTTTGACCTAAGTGACGAGACGCTGGTACCTGCCAGGCATTGACCAACTATGATAACAAACAGTTAAACAGCAATAATTAGAGATTTATCCCTTTATTTCCCCCAACTAGCCTACCTGGAGAATGTTCTGTTACATCATGAAGGCACAACACATTAAATATTTTGTGGCTATGGTCTAACACTCGTGTTACAACAACATTATTGTATATGAGGATTAACACAAACTCTGCCATTTGAACAAAGTTGTAGACACACATTTGCCCAATTAAAACTAGTTTTGAATAGTAATTTTTCTTCAAGATATGCTAATTTTGATACATTAGTTTTGCATGAGTGACAAGTATAGAATATTATATCATTTTCTGAAGGATAACACTTTCCCATTACTCTCTTGCTTAATACTACTAATTAAGTGATTTTGCTTTTGCCTACTTTGAAAATAAGGATGTCAAGAAAATAGGTTCTGAATTTCCAAGCTTTTGCACAAGTCCATTTTTTATATAAAGTTTCGATTTTTTATCTTTATTTTTTACATAATTCCAGCATCATAAGCTATCGTAAAAGAAGCAAGATTCCAGAACCTTTTTTTAAACAGAAGTGTTTGAGATCCTTTGAACAATGTGTGTCAAGACAGACTACTAATGCAGAAACACCTCACTGAAAGAAACAACAAAAATAACGACAAAGAGGCAAATAAAAAAAGGAAAGAAGCAACCATAAAACAGAATTATGCTACAACATTTTTTAGGTGAATGTCATAAGTACACAAAAGTTGTTAATAATAATTTGCTTCTATTTACAAATACTTTAACACTGATTGACTTACAAGTGTCCACTAACGTTGTTAACAGCACAATAGGTTTAATGCTTATCTTTTTAAGTTTTGTTTGAAGTATAATGTCAAGTATAGCAATCCCAGCACAAATCAATGACAAAAAGAGCACAATTTTCTAACTGGATATGTTTGTCAGTCACTCTAATCCATGGAACTTTCTGACTCTCCAAATGCATATTCTATTGTTCATAGCAGCAGTCCAGGGTCAAAATAAAATGCAATTTAATAAAAAAAAAAAGGATATCTGCACAATGGAGAGATCTTTGAAGAGTTTAATTAATTCTAGTAAACAAGATCACATAGCTAGTAGAACTATTTTCTCTCTTACGTTGTAAAACATTGTATCCTCCATGGTGCTAACACAAAGTTATGGATATCCCTGCTACAAGGGGCATAGTTGTAGAGATCTACTGAATACATAAAGCTCTGACACACATGGTATTAGCATATCTATTTAGATTAAAGTTATTAGGTCCCATATAGCCTTTTTTTTTTTAGAGTTGGTGCTCATTAGGACTCTCAATAGCACCTCCTGCTTGCTTACAAGACTTCAGATTTGCCAGAGGAATGTCTGTCATGTGGCTGCCATTGTTGAAATGGCCTTCACTGGAGCCATACTGCTTACGGTCATTGAACTGGTTCCTGTTGCTATCTTCTTTCCAGGCTCTGGTCAGGGTGTGCCCATTCACAAGCTTGTCTTTCTTGACCCATTCTTTCTGGGGTGCAAAGGTTGAGAGAGGAGATTTAGGGTGTTGATATGGACCTAAGCCAGGTGGCATCCAGCAATTATCAGAATGACCCAAAACCAAGCACTCTTGAGTGCACATTTCCGTAGCTTCAGCTAACCCTCGGGGTCCCAGAGGCCCATCTGCAGAGGACAAGAGACAGAAAATAAGAAAGGAAAGTGGTTAGATTTTATTTAAAATTATCTTCTTAGAGAAAAAGTGCATTGGTGATCTCCTTTTCTCACGAAAACTTTAAGTTAAGGAATTCAAAGATATTATTCCCCATCTTTTAAAGAGTAACACAGAAGAAATCAAATTCCTTGTTATGGAGATAACATCTATCTCTTTTCTTCCTTAAGCCTTCCTTTACATCCAGAAACATAAACAGATAGAAAAACAGAGAGATAGATGATTGATAGATAGACAGATAGATAGATAGACAGACATCGGTAAACAGATATACCTATGATATATTATTTCTGATCAAGTCTTTCTATGTCATATATATTATTACTGATGTCTGTCCTAATTCTCAACAAAAAGCTCAACAAAATTATGAGAAATAGAAAAATTTTATGTGCAATGTTGAAGAATATGTAAACGTTACAATCCCACGAAAGCAAAATGCAAAAGTACTAGTTAAAATATAATACCATTAAAAATAAATACTCTAAATGGTTATGTAAAATATTGTGTTTTCATATAAATACTTGTTCATATATGAAATCACATAAAAATAATTTTGCAACATTTAAATATTAAATAATCATTTTAAAGAGTATTTTAACTAAAGTATATTATTAAAGGCACACCTAGTATGCTGCAAGCATTCTGAACTCCAAATAAATAAAGAAGCCATTTGCATCCAAAGACAGCATTTGATTCCATCCAAGCTTACCCTATTTTCTAGATTTCTAAGGGTATAAAACTATAGCTAAGCTGCAAATTAGATCACATGGAGTCTAATATTTAGAGGGAAACAAGTCATCATAGATGTTTCTATTTTGTTTTATTTTTTGCCAGCAGGAAATCTAAAACATACATTTTATCTATGATTTCAAAAGTAAACTCTTTTCTGATTGTGCAAAGAGGAAATCAGCCCTTCACTGAAAAACAACAACTGCCAAATGGTAAAGAAAAAAGTTGGTTTTTTGTTGTTGTTTTTTTCCCCTTGATTAAACAGTCAAGTGATAAGTGATAGCTTGGAAATTAGGAATTGATTTTATGAATGAGGTTAAGTGGATAGGCAAGAATGCCTGAAGCATAAAGCATTTTCAAAAGCAAAAATCATCAGAATGAAAATGTAGAAGAAAATATACCTGTATATTTGCCTAGTCAACAATTAAAATAACTATACAATTTGAACATAGGTCTTCGCTAAAATCCAAGTTAGTACTACTAACATAAGTGCCCAATAATTGTGGGTTTTTATATTAACATCTATTTGTCCTAATAATGTTCTATTTATTTCTAGCATGCGAAAAAATGCCAGCTAAGATAGGCAACTGTCAATGACAAATACCTGAGACGACAAAACACAGGCTACATCAGAATGGACACTGGATGTGAAAAAAATGTGGCTAAAATGTACTCTTTCATACAAACTCAAATTTTAGTCATTTTTTAAATCTAAAATCTGCTCTTCAGAATAACCTTAAAATTCCTTCCCATCCAAACCGGATTCCCATCCCCTCAAAAGCAAACAGTTGTATTTTGTTTAAACACACATTCATTACTTTAAACTATTTCTCTCACAAACCTCCAATGATTACTCATTTCCGAGGATATTTCATTTAAACTTGTCTATGAGCCTTTCTTTGCCCTCTGAATTCTGCCCACATTTCAAAAGTTCAGACTAATTTCTCCCTTTTAGGTTCACTTTGATGTGCTCAGTAACTCTGTATCCACAAAGCTAACACATTTTGCTCAAACCAGTCCATGCTCCCTGCATTAGGACCACACGCTTAGAAGATGCTTTTTGCCTGTTTTCATTTAATTACTGACTCTTTCAATGGTCAACTTTTCCACAACTATACCAGTTCATGTCTCATATGCACCTTGAAGATTTCCACAGATCTTCCCTTATCAATAAATAACAAATTTCCTAACTGAGCTCCCTCAACTCTTACTTAACGTCATTTTTGTCTTTTGGGGGAGGTTCTGTACATTCATGAGTATATGTTTTTATTTTTGCTTTCTCCCAACTAGATTTAAAATCCATTGATAGAAAAAAAAAATGACTTATCAGTCTTCTGATTCCTCATAGTGCTAAGCAATAGTGATGATCTATGAAAATTATTAATTGTTATTTAAAATTTCATGAGATTGAAAATGTTCTGAGAAATTATTAAAGATATCCTCTGCTTAAAGGCAGACCGTAAGTAATTATAATAGAAGATGCTGATTTCACAAACATCACACCAAAATCTTGCTCAACAACAAATCTTTTTGCCTAGCAATACTTTGTGACAGTTAATAAATGAATTACTTAACTTCTCTGTTAAATATATTCACTCCTTTCTAGACATCAATGGAGATAAATTAATCACCAATTTCATATGTAACTTATCTTAAGCACTATAAACCAACCCTTAATCTTTACTTTTCCAGCACAATTAATAAGTTTTCCTTTCTTGTTAATATCTCCAAATAAAAACAAATAAATTATCAGCTACTTAAGAAGTATCAATAGAATCAGGGTTTTATTGAGTACATCAACAAAGGGACAATATGCAAGATTATTTTTAAAATAGTCTTATCCAACATACATTGCCATCTTATTAAATTAAGAAATATTAACCAAGGATTGAGAACAATGTGTGTGTGTGCATATGTGGACCCTAAGTCTTCAGTATTGAGTGACACATTTTAACAAGTAGAGTAGACAGTTTTCTCTTTTTTTTAGAACCGATAACACTTATTTAGTCCATAAATATTTACTGAGCATGTACTATATGCTGACACTGTGACAGGCACCAGGAATAGAGCAGTGAATAAAACTGTCAACACTACCCCATGGAGCGCTTAGTCTATCCTGGGAAATAAATAATTGCCTTAAAAGCAATGAAGTGAGAAGAAATAGGTGTCATTGGGAAAAAATAGGAGGCAGTTAACTGATTTAGGGGCGCATGTCGCTTTGCAAAGTAACAGATGGACTTTGTTCCAAATTATATAACTTCTACCATTTTCCGAAAGTTCTTCCTACAGATAATTGACAGCTTAAAACATTCACAGTTAAAATGTGTGTGTACTATATCTTTAACTTGCAAAACAATGAGTTTTTCTTCATTAAATATTATTAATTGCTCTTTGAGAATTGTACTTCCTATGATTCATTTGTGTAAATAAATTTGAAGGCTTTCGATAAAGTCTATAAATCAACTTATAGAAGTTTTGTAGATTGTTATGTAAGTCTTTTAGGTAGCTGATCATTGTATAGGATTTAAAGATCCATCAAAAGGTGGGACACGACACGATGACACTGGGATGAAAGTGGAAGTTTTTGTTACTTAGAGCTCCAAAGGAGAAAAGACCATCAGGCAGGACCACACAGGGTTGCACCAAGAATAGGGTAACAGCAGGCTGGACTTGTAAGGGACAACCCACGTATAGCAAGCAGGGTGGGGATAGCTAGGTTCCCAGTGTTCTCTGTAGATTGACTGATTTGAGAAATTTCTCATACTCCAGGGCATAGGGGTTTGTCCCAAGTCACCTGGTAAACCTGATCCCTGGGCAACTAGGGCAGGTGCCTAGTGACCCAGGAGTTTGAGAGCTCCAGAAAGGCAGTGGTGCGTGTGGACTTACTCAAGAAGGGGAACTGACCAGCCTGTAGCCGGGGCCTCAGAACTGGGTCAAGACAGCATTAAAAAAAAAATCAAAAAAGTTACATTATGCCAATTTTCTTATGTCCTTGAGATAGTGTGAGCTATATTATTAGAGAATATACTTTGCTTTATGCTTTGGTAAATTTTTATTTTGGGACATGACATTAAACAGGGAAAATTTTAGTTTTTTTATTTGGCCCTACATATAATTTCCAATAGTTGCCCTGATATTAAAGAAAAAAAAACAACAACACAATGTGTTTTATTTTGGGAAATAACAATGCTTCCAAATTTTTTTCCATAAAGTTTGTGTCATGAATTGGTAAGAAGAAAAAAGAACATTTTTTTAATTTGATGATGAATTATTAAAAGGAACATAGTCATTCTACTGGTTTCCTAATACAGCCCCTGTCCTTTAAAAGTTTAGAATCTGAAGCATGCTCAACATTCAATAGTTTTTAATTCTTTTTTCTCAATTTTAAAACCACTGTCTGAATTCTTTTATGCCCTTAAAAAGGAGACAAACATTCTTTAAAAAGCAATAATGTTGAATACTGTCATTTCCCAAAACATGATTGAAAGTAATCTATGATACTCCATCAAATATATAGCAATTAAAATATCTGGAAATTTGTGCTAATACTGCAAAAAGTATGTGCACTAAAATATTATTCTTTATCTTCAACATATAATTATTTTTTAATGTTATCAATATAAGCAATTGTCTTAACCGATGAATAATTATATTTACTTTTCATTCATACATTTCTTAACAGGTACTTATTGAATAAATAACACGTATCTCGTGAATCAGACACTGTGCTGGATTCTTAATAAATTTCTTGCATTTGTGTGTGTTTGTGTGTGTGTGTGTGTGTGTGTGTGTGTGAGCGCATGCGTGTGTTTTCCACGTTTCCCCAGTTTTTTCATATACTCCCTAATGTCCTGTTTGTGGTACATCATACAATATTTATTTAGAATTCAGATCAGGATTCCAAACTGCTTATAAATACTTTCTATAATTTCAGCATTAGACAAATTTGTTTCCTTTCTCTTAAAAATTAAGTAATTAAAATCGCTCATCATGATTTTTTTAAACACTGAAACATTTATTGAATGTTTTAAAACCTAAATGATTTATTCTCTTTCACAATCCTCAATCTATGTGTTTGGTTATCATTTTTGGTTTTCGAATGTATAAAGAAACGTGTTGATAAACTGTACAAGCCATCTGTCTCTGCGTTTCAGTGTTGGAAGCAAAGACAAAAGTATATAACAAAAAGCTTCTTGAAAGTTGTCTCAGTTGATATTTATATCAG